GGACGTTTGACTGAGCCCAGCAGGAGCAAGCGAGCTCTTCCTCATGATCTGGGCTCCCACCACTGCCCTGAACCTCTGATGGCGTGGGCAATCCTGGGAAGGAATTCTGTGGAGGGGACATGAGGACACCTGTCAGCTGAGGACCCTCCCTGCTGGTCTCCACTCCCAGGCTCTACCCTGTGGGTATTTTTCTGGAGCGACTCGTGAGCTCAGACTTGGTGCTGCAGAACTACCACATCCCGGCAGGGGTGAGTGAGTCCCCATAGCCTGTCCAGCTAGCCCTGCCTGCCCACATTGGCTGAGTGGGCAGGTGACCCCTCCATCCACACCTGTCTGCAGACATTGGTCCAGGTGTTCCTCTACGCACTGGGTCGCAACCCCGCCTTGTTCCCGAGGCCTGAGCGCTATAACCCCCAGCGCTGGATAGAGAGCAGGGTCCCCAGCAGGAGCTTCCACCACCTGGCCTTTGGCTTTGGCATGCGGCAGTGCCTGGGGCGGCGCCTGGCAGAGGTGGAGATGCTGCTCCTGCTGCACCACGTGAGCAGCCTGGGAGGGTCTGGGTAGGGTACCATGGGGGCCTGAGCCGTGGGGTGGGTCTGGTCAGGGTTGGACCTGGTTTGACCCACAGGCTGCCTCTGGCCCTGCTGCATGGTTGCTGCATCTGGGAACGTGGGAGGAGGCTGTGTCCTGTCCCTGGGCCTCCTGATGAAGCCAGATGCAAACTCTGCTTCTGTCCCAGGTGCTGAAAACCTTCCTGGTGGACATAATAGCCAAAGAGGATGTGAAGATGGTCTACCGCTTCATATTGACGCCCTCTGCCTTGCCCCTCTTTACATTCAGGACCATTAACTAGTCACGTGTCTGCACCGAGGGTCCCAGCCATGCCACTACGCTCTCTCTTCCTTGACCCCACGCCACCTCCCCTTTCCCAGCTGCACAGCTTCCTGGACCACACCGTGTCCCGCCAGCCTCATGCACAATTGTTACAGCTGAAATCCTGCTGCGGCAGGGCTTGCAGCAAGGCCAGGGTGGAGTTGGGATGATCCTGCTGTCAGGACCTGGCCTTGTCTCCAGCCCCAGCCAGATCCTTCTCCAGCAAATAGCATCCTCTGGTGGCTTAGCCCCCACCCCTCCCTGCGCTAGCTCCAGGCTCCTCATGTGGTCATCAAAGCACCCTGAGATCCTGCCCCATGCCTTCCTGTCCCATCTCAAACCCCTGTCCCTTCTCCCTGCCCCCTCATGGGTGCCTCTGTGTGGGTTGTCTGAGGGTCAGGAAAAGGGAACCCAGTTTGTGACAGTCCAGGTCAAGATCCCCCTCCTGCAGCCTGCCTTCCCAGGCAGCTCAAACACACACTGAGCTCTCTGGAAGTCATCATCCTGGAAAGGGATCCTGAGGTTAGGGTGGAGAGGCCCTGGTGATCACTTTTCCTGAAATAACCCCATTTTGAACACAAGAAAAACTTGAGTCATGAGGGAACTGTGACCCCACAGCTAGCTGGTGTTGGCCACGTGCACCAGGCCAGCTGTCCTGTGGACCAGACATTGTTCTGTGCTCAGCTCTGTGCCATGCACTGGGGCAGGGCCTGCAGATGCCGAGAGGGGCCGAGGCAGTTGTGTGGGGTGAGAGCAGGGCAGACTCGAGTGGGCCCACGGTGACAGGGACGGCTTCTGCCCACTAGTTGCTTGTTCAGCACATGAGCACGAGCCACGTGCCATGACTGTGGAGGGCACGGGAGGCAGCAGTTAGCAGAGGGGATGTGCCCCCAGCCCTCACCTGCTCCTCACCCAGCAGAGTGGACAGACACCTCGATCATGGTCTGCTCTGTTGTGCAGGAGAGAGGGGAGAGGAAGTGCCAAACTTAAGAGAACAGCTAGTCAGACTGTCTTTGCCCCAAGGACTTTCACTGGACCCACGGTCATAGCAGCCGGATCATTGTAGCTGATGAAGATTAGAGCTTTTGTTTTCCCATGTATGGGGAAATACTTGGGTAGCCGCCCATATTAATATTGATATCATTCAGTGAGATTACTGAGAATTTACATTATTTAACTGGTATTTATTTCAATAATAAATATTTGGTATTTAGACCTGTTTGTATATTCTGTGAAATTTCATCACATACGTGTATTTGTATGTATTAAATAGTGAGGACAATGACAGAAGTGCCCACTTCATGTTGCTGTTGCTGGCTTCAGTGGGGTGAGTGGGAACCCAATCATGGAGCAGTTCTCCCACAGTCAGTGCTGGCTGTGGCCTGGTGCTGAGAGTTGATGACAGTGTGGGCTCCTGGTAGGGCCTCCCCGACTCTGACTTCTTCACCCCTTCATTGCTCTGAGTGATGTATCTAAACCACGGTCATATACTTTAGTGGGAATATGGGAGTGTGAGGACGTGCACAGGGCTCCTGCACGGGGCAAGGATGATCCCAGGCAAGGTGCAGCTGTTACCTTCTGTCTAAGCATGGCTCCTAGCACCCCAGCCTCCCTTCAGTAAGTGATGTCTCCTGGGTATTCCCTCATCCTTAGCCAAGCCAGCAATACCAGCCAAGATTGCACCTCTGACACACAGTGAACCTCCCCCAGTTTTACCCAGGACTCTCTGAATTGGCCTGTGGAACTGAAAGGCCATCACCAGATGGACCCTGCTAATTCATGTTTCCACCCCATGTAGCCTGCATAAAGCCTGGGGAAGAGGAGACAAAAACATGTGGGGGTTAGATTCCAGGCTAGTTCCTGGGTCCGTAGTACCCATGTCCACACCTGTGGACTCAGCCTCCAGGCCTACCCCAGAGCCATGCCACCTTTTGTAGCCCCATGCTCCAAGCCAACCTTTGTGTACCTAACTTCCAAGGCAGCACCCAGAAACCCAGACTTCAGGTTTGCCCTTGCTGACCCAGGCTCAAGACCAGTCCTCAAGGCCCCAGTCTTGGGGTCAGTCCCTGTGGCTCTAAAAAAACTAACCAGGCTGGTACCTGCATACCCAGGCTACACACTGGCCCCTGCAGACCCAGGCTCTTCAATATTTTGATTCTTTTCTCTGGTCTGCCTGTGATAATTCAAACAGCCTGCCTTCGAGATCAGAAATTCTCTCTTCTGCTTGTTCAAGTCTGCTGGTTAAACTCTCTGTTGTATTTTTTATTTTGTTGAATGAATCCCTCAGCTCCACAAGCTCAGCTACATTTTTTTTTCAAGGCATTGACTTCTTCGTACATTTCTTCTTTCATATCCGGTATGTTTTTTTCTCATTTCATTGTGTTGTTTCGCTGAATTTTCTTGTATCTCATTTGGTTTCCTTAGAATAGTTACTCTAAATTCCTTGTCTGCCATTTCAAAGACTTCCTGTTCTATAGGTTCTAGCACTTGTAAGTTATTAATTTCCTTTGGTGGCCATGTACTTTCTTGATTTTTCATATTTCTGGTTTCTTTCCTTTGATGTTTTGTAATTTTGGCTGGAGGTATGACAGTTCACTCGTTTCACCCTGATGTATGGCTTGGATCTTGAAGGGACTGCTGCTTCTGGACAGCAGAAACTAGCCTGGACTGGAAGTCCCACCCCACATGCCTTCACCTGCTTGTCAGGCTAGGGGCTTGGAAGCCCATACCTCTCAGGTCACTCACGGAGATGGATGGTCTGTGCCGGAAGTCCCACCCTGTCTGCATTCACCAGCTCGTCTGGCTTGGGGCTTGGGAACCTGGAGCCTCTCAGGTCGCTCACAGAGATGGGGCGGCCTGGGCCAAAAGTCCTGCCCTGTCAGCCTTTACCAGCTTGTCTGGGTCAGGGCTTAGGATCCCAAAGCCTCTCAGGTTGCTTGTGGAGATAGGACGGGCTGGGCTGAAAGTCCGACCCCATCAGCCTTCACTGGCTCATCTGGCTTGGGGCTTGGGAACCCATGCCTCCCAGGTCACTCATGGAGCTATAAGCAAATATTAACCAGTATGAAGGCAGACATAGACTGCAATACAAAAATAGTAGGGAACTTCAATACCCAACTTTCATCTAGACAGAAAATCAATTAAAAAAATCAGGCTTGGACTATATTTTAGACCAAATGGACCTAACAGATATACAAGTATACAAGTCATTCCATCAACAACAGCAGAACACACATTCTTCTCAAGTGCACTCAGAACATTCTCCCAAATACATCATATGTTTGGCCACAGAACAAGTCTTAACACACTTAAGAAGACTGAAATTATATCAACTACGTTCTTAACCACAATGGTATAAAACTAGAAATCAATAACAGTAGTAATTACAGAAAATTCACAAATATGAGAAAATTAAACAACATGAATAATTAATGGATCAAAAAGAAAATGTAAGGAAAATTTTAAAAATCTTAAGACAAATGAAAATGGGAACACAGCATAGAAAACCTTATGGAATACAGCAAAGCAGTTCTAAGAGGGGCCTATATAGCAAGAAATGCCTACACCTAAAAGGAATAAAGATCACAAATAAGCAATGTAACATTACACCTCAAGGAAGCAGGAAAAGAATAAAATCAACCCAAAGTTAGCAGAAGGAAGTATATAATAACTATCAGAGCAGAAATAAACCAAATAGAGAATAGAAAAGATTAATAAAACTAAGTGCTGGTTTTTTGAAAGATAGAACCAACAAATTTCTGGCTAGGTCAAGGAAGAAAAAACAGAGATTAAATAAATAGAATCAGAAATTTAAAAAAAAGACATTGTAACTGACACTACAGAAGTACAAAAAATTGTTAGAGACTATTATGAACAATTGTATGAAAACACATTTGTTTTTTTTTTTCCTAAAGAAGAGATGATTTTATTTTTATTTATTTAAATTTTATTTTGTCGATATACAATGAGGTTGATTATTGTGGCCCATTACTGTAACCCCCCTCCCTCCTCCCTCTTCTCCCTCCCACCCAAAAATGTCCTTTCTGTTTGCTTGTCATATCAACTTCAAGGAGTTGTAATTGTTAAGTCTTCTTCCCCCCGCCCAGTTTTTTTGTGTGTGTATGTGAATTTATTTATTTATTTTTAGCTTCCACCAATAAGTGAGAAC